GGCCGGCCTCTAGTTTCCCTGGTCGTCGGACAAGGGAACGAGCTTTCAAAGGAGCTCCTCTTTGTCTGCGTCCAGGTCATCCTCTTCCTCTAGGACTTCTTGTTCCGCTGCAAACTTGGCCTCCATGAGCTGGACCATGGATGCCATGTTGCGGCGGGGACACGCTGCCCGTCAGTGGTCTGGGCTGCCACACAGGTGGCACTGATTGTTGGCACTACGCTGCCGATACTCTTCTGCCGAGACGCCAGGGACAGAGGATCGGCCGGCGGTGCCAGCGGAGGTGCGCGCGGGGCGCAAGGGTTCGGCGGTCGCCGGTCGGCCAGCCGGGCAAGGGGCTGCGATGGACGGTCGTGGGGTACGAGATCCTGTACCCCACCGGAGGGAATCCGCCTGTTCCTGCTGCATTTTCCGGTCAGCGCGGATGGCTGCCGTCATGTAGCGGTGGTCCCGTCGTCGTCTAGGTGGGCGATCCGTTGTCGGATCTCACGTCGCAACCCTTTCTGGAAGAACGTGATGAGCGTCCTATTGGGTTGCGGCTTGGCGGTGACCACAAGCGCACGGAAATCTGACACATATGTATTGATACTGCCAACCTGGCGGATCTCGCCAAGCTTGCGGAGGGCGGTGTCGAACATACGGTTGTCACCCCATACCTCGCGAAGGTACGAGGTGAACCGCCACCAGTTGGAAAGGTGCGCCGACCCCAGATCTGGGCCGACGGGCCTTCCTGCTGCCAGGTCTTCTTGTTGTTGCGCCCAACCGCAACGCTCCTGAACCAAGGTGTTCCCTGGCATGCCATCGATATGTGCTTGCGCGTAAGCAGCCCACTCCATCTGCAGCAACCCGGTGAAGTGGAACACGTGCAAGCAGTTATCAATGAACCGCTCGAGGGTCTCCTTGCTACCGTCCCAACGCTCTAGCTTGATGCGGGGACCGCTGGAACTTGGTGTATAGGTTGGTCCATAGTACACCAGTGGATGACGGTAGTTGTCGGGGGGGATCGGAGCGCCGTTGTTGTCTGCGAACAAACCAGCGGCGGATTTGGCGGTGACGTTTGTCACCACACTTGTTAGGGTTAGGGTTAGGGTTAGGGTTAGGGTTAGGGTTAGGGTTAGGGTTAGGGTTAGGGTTAGGGT